ATAATAATGAGAAAATTAAAAAATAGTTAAACTCAAGTTTTCCATGATCATTTTCTTCAAATATTAAAATGTGTAGGGCATCAAGCTTACAAAACATAATCTGTTCAGTATTAATATATCTAAAATGTCTTCTTTGTTTAATACAGCATCAATATGATAAGATTGTTGAAAATATATAATATATAATAATGAGAAAATTAAAAAATAGTTAAACTCAAGTTTTCCATGATCATTTTCTTCAAATATTAAAATGTGTAGGGCATCAAGCTTACAAAACATAATCTGTTCAGTATTAATATATCTAAAATGTCTTCTTTGTTTAATACAGCATCAATATGATAAGATTGTTGAAGAAAGAGACTCAGAATTAGGACTTTATAAAAGCAGAGAACAAGAACAGTCATCAGTGAAGGCTTCTTTGGTGAGACACAGAACAAATATCAGTAAAACCAATTCTTATAGCATTAACATTGATGGCAAAATAGTATTAAAGCTATAATTTTTGATCTATAGACTCATAGTCTGAGATCCAAAAGGATCTTACAAATTTTCTTCTTGTGTTGTTTTTAAATTTAGTTTTTGAAATGGTTGAATAAACTATTTTTAACTGAAATGTTGAAAGGTCTAGTTAAAGGAAATATAAAGCTTTGATGTTTAGGAAAGGTGAGTTGGTTGGAATAAGAGACTATGAGTGTGTATGTATGTGTATGTATATATGATGCCAAATCCTTAAGAGAAAACTACAGAAAAACTTGAAACTTGTTAAATTGAGTCTAGCTATGTTCCATTATCAGCCATAAAAAAATATTTTTATTGAATTTTTGTAAATTTCATACAAAACATCTTAATTATCTTTATATCCCTTCCCCATCCACACCCACAAGATTTCATGCATTCTCTCATGTATGTTAAAGTCTATCAAATCAAGTTAGTGTACTCGTACAACCCTCAGTGCAAGTTCATCCACTGGGTCTAGTCAGCCTATCTAGTCTCTCCCTTAAAGAAAATCAACTCTACCTGTAAGTCTGTTTCCTTATGGTCATCCACCTCCTCCCCTAGCTCTTATAATCTTTCCACCCCCTCTTCCTCAATGGTCCCTGAGCCCTGGATTGATGAAATTTAATATAGGAGTCCTGTCTGGGGATCCACACTCTACAGACTCTTATTCTTTACACTTTGACCATTTGTGGCTTTTGTATTCATTGCCCTCTCTTGTATGAGGACGTTTTGCTGGTGAGAGTTGAGAGATGCATTAGCATTCTCTCTACCCCTTTTGTGTTCCAGTATGTTCCATGAGCCTTAGGTGTACAGGTTCCATTGTAGATGTGTCATTTAGGGTTGGGCATCTCACAGACACTTATCCTTTGTGTGTGACAAGTTGTGGAACTCTGTTAATAGTCTCTGTTGCAAAGGAAGCTTCTTTGATGAGTGGTGATTGGGATACTTATCTGTAAAATATAAAGATCCATATAGCATATAGTAGGAAATTATGTTTGTCTAGGAATGTGACAGGCTTAGGATTTTTTTCTAAGATCTCTGACCTCTCCAGCCATATGTATTTGCTGTGTTTACAGTGTCTATAGTATTTTAAAGGACATGTTGAGTTAATTTTATTCTTTTTTTAGAACTGAATTTGTTAGAAGCACTAGATTACATTTCCATTATCTTGAGAAATATATAGAAGCACTTACACACTTCATCTTTCTTTTTCTTTAGGAGAATGAATTATCTAATATCAAAAGTGAACTTGTGTCCCTTAAGAAGCAGCTTGAAATAGAAAAGGAAGAAAAAGTAGGTTTTGTGGTATTGCATGTAAAATGATTGTTGGGTTTTGGTGCAATATTGCATTTTATAAATGTTATATTTAAAAATAATTTGATAAATTTGGGTAACTAGGGATGAGAAAATGTACCATTTCTCTATTAGTTTTTTCCCCCAGAAGTATTTAACAAATTATTTCCTTTAAATATTAAGTATATAGGAATATACATGCACCTTTAAGAATATAAATACTTTCAAATATATTGTATTTGAGGAATATTGTCTTATTGTAAAATGCTTATATATTTAATGTGAGTTTTAAAAAGCTATTCATTATTGCAGAAAAATGTCTTAAATGTCTTCTTTGTGACATTTGTAGTTTGCAAAGTGCTGTGACTCACACTAAAATACCAAATCCTCTTTTCCTTTTTTTTTCTTATGTCAAGTACTCTGCTGAGTTGTATCTAACTTAGTATTTATAATAACATTGTATGCAGTACTCAGTCTTCATTTTTACCAAGGTTAGGATATTCATTCAAGAGCATGTAAGAAGCTAGAATTCAAATCTAGGTGTATTTTTGCATGACTTAAAAACCTGCTCTTGAGCCAGGTGTGGTGTCTCAGGCCTTTAATTCTAGCACTCAGCACTCAGGAGACAGAGGCAGGTGAATCTCTTGTGAGATTGAGGCCAGCTGGGGCTACAGGGAGACAAAAAAAAAAAAAAATCCTGTTCTTCTAATACCTCTCCAACAGCCTAGATAAAATACATTTTCAACTTTAAGCTTCTGCAAATTTGTTAACTTTGTTTCTTGTACTTAATTCCTTTTATCTTTTCTGTGGACAATCTCACATATATATGTTAAAATGTCAGCTTATATGTATACATATTAAATACCTTCTATTACATCACAACCATTTTAAGGCTAGGATTATGTTTTAGCCCTGTTTTTTGAAATTTTTGTTTCCAATTAATATTAGTTAAATAAATGACCAAATAGATTTCTTTTCACCTATAATACTAACATAGATACTTCATCCGATAATGTAAACAGAACAGGAATCCTCATGTGTCCTTATTTTTGATGTTTTTATTTAAACCCTGAGCTATGTTCAGATTTTATTTTTATTTTGTTTTGATGCTGGGGATTGAATTGATTTTTACTCTTTAATAAACATGAAAAGACCTTAAAAAGTCTTAAAATCTTTACCAAGATTCTTAAGCATCAAACTTTGAGAAGGAATAGTACGTAATGCTATCTGCTATTTCCATACCTATTAGGATTTAGATGTTGGCTTAGCCACTGTCTTGACTTGGGTCATGTTGAATTTCTTGTCAACAATTCCAGTGCTTGCTTTTTTATGTGTATATCATGAATTATTCAGTCACTGTTTACATAGTATAGCGTTTCTTTTACATCATATATGTATATGGATAGACCTCGGTTTGTTTAAGTCCTTCAGCCAATAAAGGGCATGTATTTTTAGTTTTTGAGCTTTTTTGAATTAAACTGCTGTGAATATCTGCATATATAGGGTTAGTGTAAACATAAGTTTTTATCTCTAAAACAGCTGCCAGATATTACAGCTACTGAATTGTATGGCAGTTGTGTATTAATTTTATAAGAAACTGCCAAATCGTTTCCAAAGTGATGATGCATTTTTACATTATCAGCAACACTGCATAAGTGATTCATTCCTTCTGCATCTTTGCAAGCAACACCTTGCTATGTTTTTCAGTTATTGGGATAGATTTGTGGTGATAGTTCCTTGTTTTCTTTTTCATTCTGAGAATTTTTTCACTCCTTGTTTTAGTTTTTACAAATAATTTTAATTCTGTGACAGCTTCATACATGTATATATTTTGATCAGATTCACATACCCTTTAACCCCCTCTTATCTCTTTCCATTGGAACTTTTCTTCCTAACATATCCCCTCCTACTTTCATATCTTAAAAAAAAACTCACTGAGTTTAATTATGATTGACTGCATATGCATGGGTATAGGCAATTTTTCTTCTTTACTATTATTTCTTTAAAATTAGCTTAAAATGTAATGGATTTCATTATGCTTATAAATATATTAATTTTTATTGAATTTTTGTGTATTTCATACAGAAAATCATCTTTAGACCCCCCCTTCCACTTTGGCCACCCTCCCATAGCCCCCGACTGTAGTTCATATATTCTGTCATTTGTATTATGGCCTATTATGTAAAGCTAGTGTCCCCAGATGTCCTTCAGTACAAGTTCGTCCACTGGGATCTAGTGAGCCTATCTAGAGTCCCTTCCTTTAAGAAGATCAGCTCTTCCTCACCCACCAGTAATCAGCTGCCAATAATTCTTTGACTGAGATTGGGGCTTGCTGTTCATTTCCACAGTTCTGTGCTGGGTTTTTGTCTGACTAAGTTTGCATGAATCTTGTGCATGCTGACATCATTGCTGTAGGTTTATATGAGAAGGGTCCCTGGCACCTGTAGGACTATTTCCATATGGTCATGTACCTCCTCCCTGGCTCTTACAATCTTTCTGCCCCCTCTTCTTCAGTGGTCCCTGAGGCCTGGGTGGGTGGACCTCAATATAGCAGACCTGTCCAAGGACCCACACTCTGTAGGCTCTTATTCTCTGCGTTCCTGGCCCTCTGTTGCATGAGAGCTTCATTGATGAGAATTGAAAGATGCGTTAGTGTTCTCTTCATCCCTTGTTCTATGTTCTGTGAGTCTTAGGCATAGAGGTTGCATCCTAAATGTGCCACTTAGGCTTGGACAATTCACAGAGAATCTCTGTGTGTGACCAGTGGTGTGATTCTGTAATAATCTCTGTCTGTCGAAAAAGCTACTTTGATGGGTAGTGACTGGGATACTTGTCTGTAAATTTAAGGATCCATATTTTGCACATAGTAACAAATTATATTTGTCTAGCGTTATGAGAGCCTTGGGCTTTCTCTAAGATCTATGACCTCTCCGGCTATGTGTCTTTGGCTAGGTTTACTGTACCACAAATGATTCCTCCCACTGAGTGGGCTTTAAGTCCAATTAGGTAGCTGATGATTACCCCCAAGATAAAAGTGCCACTACTGCACCAATGTCCTTTGCTTTGGTGGTCATTGATGTGATTTTTAGGCCTTGAAGCTAGGGTTGGACCATTGATTGATGTACCAACTTGCTTAGTGTTTTCCAAAGCTATGAGAGCTAGCCCTCAGGGGAGGTGGTTTCCAGGTCAGTTCCAGCTCCACTGCTCCAAATCCTGTATCCAAAGTATGTCCTGTCTTTAGCAATAGGGTCTTACCATCAAGTTCAGGGAGGCAATCAAGGACTGTGACGATAGCCTGTGTAATTCTGTGAGACTACCAGGGCCAACAGCTCAAAGGAAGGTTTCTCCTGTCTGGCACTGCTTCTTGTTATGTAGTCTTCAGCTTTGCTCACTGACTCATGTAGGAATATTGTATGTGTAATTTTTCAGTAGGGTTTTAAAATAATACTATTCTGTTTTCTTTTTTTATACTAGCTAGGTACTATTTATGTCTCCTCTTTCTCTTCTTGTCTTATCCTCCCTCCCCAACTTTCCCATTTAAAGTGCCCCCATTTTCCCCATTTCTCCTTTGATAATTTTGGCATGCTATGGTCCACCTCTTCTGAGCTCCTTCTTCCCCTTTATTCCCATATTTCTTTGTATAGCCCTCCTTCTCCCCCTCCCCTTTAACTACCCCCTTTTTACACATTTCTCCCTTAGTAACACCTGTCTCCTACTATTCTTCTCTCTCGGGTTCCTTCTTTCCTTTGCCTCCCTGGTTCCCTTCCATATTCCTGGTTCCTGAAGTTACATTGGGATATGCACTCACTTATAAAGATTTGGTGCTAGGATCCATATATGAGGGAGAACATTTTATTTTTCTGTGTCTGTTTCTTCACTTAGTATCATAGTTTCTAGATCCAACCATTTACCTGAAAATTTCATTATTTCATCTTTCTTTACTGCTGAGTAGAACTTCATTATGTAAATACACCACATTTTTGTTAACCACTCGTCAGTTGATGGGCACTTAGGTTGCTTCCATCACTTAGCTATTGTGAAAAGAGCAGCAACAAACATGGTTATACAAGTATCTCTATAATAGGATGAGTCCTTTGGGTATATGCCAAGGAGTGGTATAACCGGGTCTTATGATAGGTTCATTTTTAGTTTTTTAAGCATTCTCCACACTATTTTCCACAGGGATTGCATGAGTTTGTAATCCCACTAGCAGTGAATGAACATTCCCCTTTTTCCACATCCTTGCCAGCATTTGATATCATTTGTTCTCTTGATTTTAGCCAGTCTGACTGGCGTAAGGTGAAATCTTAAGATGGTTTTAATTTGTATTTCCCTAATTAGTAATGATGTTGAACACCTTTCAAGATATTTCTTAGCTATCTTGCGTCTTTGTTTTTTGAGTTCTTTATATGTTCTACATGTTAAACCTCTATCAGATGTGTCACTGGTGAAGAGCTTTTCCCCACTCAGGGGATTTTTCTTCACATTCTTGATTGTTTATTTTGCTGTACAGAAGCTTTTTAGTTTAATGAGGTCTCACTTGTTGATTGTGGACCATAATCTCTGAGCAACTGGTGTCCAATTTAAAAGATTTATAAAGTCCTTTCCTACATCTATATCTTGAAGGTTGCTGCCAATGTTTTCTTCTAATAGTTTCAGAATTTTGAGTTTCACATTGAAGTCTTTGATCCATTTGGAGGTGACTTTTGTGCAAGGTGAAAGATAAGGATCTAGTTTCATTCTTCTATGAAAACTGGAGATCTGTTGTTGGCAGCACCATTTGTTGAAGATGCTGTCTTTCCTTCATTGTGTGTTCTTGGCACCTTTGTCAAATATCAGGTGGCTGAAATTGTGTGTATTCAGGTTTATGTCTTCAGTGATGTTCCATTGATCTATGTGTCTATTTTTGTGCCGGTACCATGCTATTTTTATGACTATAGCTCTGTAGTGTACTTTGAGATGATGATGTGGTTTTTATCTTTGACTCCATTTATATGATAAATGATGTTTATTGAATTGTGTATATTGAACCATCCCTGCATGTCTAGATTAAAGCCTACTTGATCATGGTGAATGATCTTTTTGATGTGTGTCTGCATGCAGTTTGCAAGTATTTTGTTGAGAACTTTTGCATCTATGTTCATTAAGGATATAGGTCTATAGTTTTCATTTTTGGTTGTGTCTTTACCTGGCTTTGGTATTAGAGTGATGCTGGCTTCACAGAAGGAATTTGGGAGTTCTTCCTCTGTTTCTATCATTTTGAATAATTTAAGTAGTATTGGTTGGAGGTCTTCTTTAAAAGTCTAATTGAATTCTGCTGTAAATCCATCTGGGCCTGGGCTTTTTATAGTTGGGAGGCTTTGTAGTACTGTTTCAATTTTCTTATATGTTATGGGTCTGTTTAAACTGTTGATCTCTTCTTCGTTTAACTTTGGCAGTTCCCATGATTTTAGATATTCATCCATTTCTTTTATATTTTCCAAATTTAGTAGTGTATGGGTTTTTAAAGTATTCCCTTATAATGTTCTGGATCATTTTGGTGTCTGTTGTGATGTTTCCCCTTTCATCTCTGATTTTGTTGATTTGGATTTGCTCTTTCCTTCTTCTGGTTAGCTGGGCTAAGGTTCTGTCTATCTTGTTTAACTTTTCAAAGAACCAGCTCTTAGAGCCATTGATTCTTTGTATTATTTTCTTTGTTTCTATTTCATTAATTTCTGCTGTGATTTTGTTATTTCTTCTCTTCTGCTGGGTTTGGGTTTCATTTGTTCTTGCCTTTCCAGCATCTTGAGTTGCAGTGTTAGGTCATTTATTTGGGCTCTTTCTAATTTTTTATTGTAGGTGCTTAGAGCTGTAAACTTCCCTCTTGGGACTGCTTTTAAAGTGTTCCAGAGGTTGTGTTGTGTTGTATTGTCCTTTTCATAGAATTCCAGGAATTCTTTTCTTTCTTTCTTAATTTCTCTTTTGACCCACACATTGTTTAGGAGTGTGTTGTTCAATTGCCATGAGTTCCTGTAGTGACTAGGGCTTTGTCCAGTGTTGATTTTGAGCTTTATTGCATTGTGGTTTGATAGAATGCATGGAATTATTTCAATTTTTAAATTTATTTTTTAAAATTTTATGTATAGGAGTGTATTGCCTGCATGTATGTGAGTGCACCCATGTCATGCAATGCTGTGGAGGTCAGATGAAGGCTTCAGATTCTCCTAGAACTGGAGTTAAGGATGGTTCATAGCTGCCATGTGGGTGTTGGCAATCTAACCCTGGTCCTCTACAGGAACAGTCATTGTTCTTTACTGCTGAGCCAACTCTTCAGCCCCCGAAATTATTTCAGTTTTTTTGTGTTTTTTGAAGTTTGTTTTGTGGTCCAGTATGTGTTCAATTTTTGAAAAAATTTCATGGGGCGCTGAGTAGAAAGTGTATTCTTTGGTGCTTGGGTGGAATATTTGAAAGATGTCTTTTAGGTCCATTTGATGTATGGTATCATTTAATTCAGATGTCTCTCTGTTTATTCTTTGTCCAGTTGACTTGTCTAATGGAGACAGTGGGGTATTGAAGTCCCCTACTATTACAGAGTTGGGGTTAATCTGTGTCTTAAAGTCCTGTAGTGTTGTTTTTATGAATTTGGGTGCACCAGAGTTCGGTGTATATGTTAAGGATTGTAATATCTTCCTGGTTAACTGTTCCTTTGATCAGAATGAAGTGACCCTGCTTATCTCTTCTGATTAGTTTTAAAGTCTATTTTGTCAGATATTAGAATTGCAACCCCTGCTTGTTTCTTAGTGCCATTTGCTTGGAATATTCTTTTCCATCCTTTTACCTTAAGGTAGTGCCTGTCCCTGCAGGTGAGATGAGTTTCTTGTAGATAGCAAAGAAATGGATTTTGTTCCTTAATCTATTCACTTAGCCTGTGTCTTTTGCCTGGGGAGTTCAGTCCATTGATATTTGAAGTTATTCTTCAAAGATGTTTATTGGTTGCCATCATTTTGATTGCTGTTTGTGTTCTCTGTCTAATTTTGTGTTTCCTCAATTATACGTTTATTTATTTTCTTTCATTGTCCCTGTTGTTTCTCTCTGCTCTCTGTATTGCTTCAAGTATTCTTTGAAGGGCTGGTTTTGTGGACATGTATTCTTTCAGGCTATTCATGTCATGGAAGATTTTTCTTTGCCCCTCAACTATAATCTTTGCTGGGTGAAGTATTCTGAGCTGTCATCTATTGTCATGTAGAACTGGAAATACCTTGGTTCAGGCTCTTCTGGCTTTCATAGTTTGCATTGATAAGTCAGCTGTAATTCTGATGGGTTTTCCTTTTTATGTGACTTGTTTTTGTTTTGCTGCTTTCAGTATTCTCTCTGTTCTGTACATTTAATGTTTTTACTATGATATGGGGAGTTTCTTTTCTGTGTTTCCATGTGAGCTTCAGGATTGTTTCTCGTTCTGTGAAGAATGTCATTATTATTTTGACAGGAGTTATAGCAAATCTTTAGATCGATTTCAACCATGCAGCATTTTTACTATTAATTCTGTTGATTCATGAGTTTAATAAGGTCTTTCTATCTTCCAGCGTCTTCTTCAGTATATTAAACTTTTCATTGTCATAATCTTTCACCCCTTTGGTTAAGTTTACCTAGATATTTTATTATTTTTTAAACTACTTGGAATGGAATTCCCTCCCCACCCAATTTCTTTCTCAACAAGTTCCTTATTGACATAAACTAAAGCTACTGATTTTTGTATGTTGATTTTGTGTCCTGCTAATTAGCTGAAGGTATTTATCAGATCTGAGAGCTTTCTTATGGAGTCCTTAGGTTCATTTATGTATAGGATCGTATCTGCAAATAGGGATAATTTGCCTCTTCCTTTCTTTCTTGTATCTCTATTAGTTCTTTTATTTGTCTACATGATTTTGAGCACTATATTGAATAAGAGTAGACAGAGTGGACAACTTTATCTTATTCTAGATCTTAGAGGAACTGTTCTCTGATTTTCCTCATTTAGCACAATGTTGACTATAGTTTTGTCATATATAGTCTTTATTATGTTGTGGTATGTTCCTTCAATTCCTAGTTTCTTTAAGGCTTTTATCATGAAGTGATATCACTTTGTTCAAGGTTTTTATTGAATCATTTGAGATGAGCCTACTGTTCTCATCTACTTCATTTTACAAATAAGAAAATTGAGATTCAGCGCTTAAAGAGACTCAAGATTCCAGAGATACACACTATAAAGAGAATAAAGACAGATAATCAAAACTGAGTAATACCTATGTATGAATGAGCTAATCTTTTCATTATGTTATAAAATTCTGCACCAACCTTGTTTCTTTGTCAGTACTTATTAGGAAAGATTTTGACAATAATGTTCGTTTATGGTACTAGTAATGATTATGTTATATGTATTTACTATTTATTTTTAATAGGAAAAATTAAGAAAAGTGGCAAAAGAAAACATAGTTACTCTTAGAGATAAAAAAGACAAGGTAAGAGTTTTATATAATTCTCAGTTTTCCTTATTGGATATTGAATGTGCTAGGCAAATGCTTTGTCATTGAGCTGTATATCCCCAGCATCAATTCATTTTTCTAGCATTTAGAAATAATTACTTTTGTTCATCAGTAGGAAAATGACATTTAAATTGTATCACACAATTTCATTTCCAAAATTATTTCTTGCTGTTTATTAATTTAAAGACACTAGCTAAAAATATTTAAAACATTAGTCATTTGATGATTTAGAGATGATTTCAGAATTTGTAATTTTTTAAAAATTTAAAATTACATTTATTTATTTATTTATTTATATATTTGTGTGTGTGTGTGTGTGTGTGTAAACAGTTATGTGTGGAAATATTTTTGGCAAAAATAGAAAAGGAAATACTTTTGAATGATAAATTTATATGGCAAAGAGAGAGTTGTGAACCCACAATGCATGTGTGGAAGCCTGAAAACAACTTGTAGGACTTGGTTCTCTCCTTCTATCCTGTGGGTCCCAGGGATTGGCCTCAGGTCATCAGTTTTGGCCTGCAAGCTCATCTGACCAGCCCCAGTCTTTATGATTCTTATTATACTACTATCTTAAATTGACATATCTGTTTTTTCTTTTGAAAAATTTCCAGTATTAGAGGAAAAATACTTTCATTAAAAATTAATTAAATCTTGGTCAGTGGTAAATAAAGTACTTTCCTAGTGTGCACAAAGCTCTGGGTTTGATCTCTAGCACTGAAAAAAAATCTAAAGCTTATATTTAGATTATGTTTAATTTGCAGGCCTTTTGCTTTAATATTTTAAAAGTTTATTCTCTGGCAATTTCATACATGTATACAGTGTATTAATTTACGTTTTGACAAGACTAAATAAGTCACATTCTGCTTTACTCACCTAAGCTTTGTTCTAATTGAGAGAGACAAAGTAATCATATACATGTATATTTATAGTTGATAACTAATATTAGATAATGTGGTTTATAACTGAAGACTTTTTTCTTTTATGTTCCCCACTGTTTTGTGGTGATGAGGGTCAAACTCGGCAATGTTGTTCATGCTAGAAGAGAATTTCTTACTCCTGAAATAACAAATAATTTTCCTTTTCTGTCATATGTTCTGTCATTACTGGGGCAGATCTATCCACTTGATGACCTGCTCCTGTAAACTGTAGCAGAAATGAGAAAAACAGATACGTACTTTCTCTTGTTCTCAGAAGGAGTAAGAAAGAGACTAGTATATGTATCTAGCTAGTTTCTCTTTCCAAACTTACCACTGGTATTAAGCCACTGTTCTCTTCTAAGGGAGAGAGGTTAGAAATGTTACTCTAGTGAAGTTCCCTCCATTTGGAAGGAAGTTCTAGGAATGGGGAAGAAGACTGAACCTTTGGTCTTTAACTTATTTAATGAGATAGAATTGTTGCAGAAGAATTTTGATTAAATCAATTTTTTGTTTAGATTATTATTTTCTATATACATAACACAGCCTTCTAATAGATATTGCTATGATTCTAGTTACATTGAAAGTGAGAATTAGAATTGTCTGGCAGCAATTTAATTGTTAGGCATAGATAATGCCACAGCTTGGTTATCTTTGAGTTCAAAGAAGAACCTGTTAGTGAATATTTAGTGTTTTACTTTTCCTAGATACTACAGTAGACACTTCAAAAGATTGTATTTGGAGAAATAATCCTCATAATAAAATTAATCATTGACCATAAAGTTAATGCAATGTCTGATAAAGATGAACAAATCAGTTAATTATTGATATTCTAAGTATAGAACATATTCGTATTAAATTATATATCATGTTTTCATAGACATTTTGATTTGTGTGTAATTCCATAATACTTATATCTTTTATAAAGTAGATTAGTAAGTGCTATTTATTTTATCTGGGGAGTCTGGATGTTATATATGCTGAAAAATGAAAAAATTATCAAAGAAATGAAGAAAGTTAACTATGCTTTTGGAGGGTTATACTTTATTCTAACCAGGCTGAAATATCACAGACCAAATATATAATAATCATTAAATGCATCAGATGTCTCTGATTTTGTGTAAGTTACTGAAATTCTTCATGCCTCAATTTTTTCATCTATCAAGGGATTATCATGCCTACCTCCTAAAGTTGTTGGGAATTAAGTGAGATGGTATTTGCAAAACATTAAAAATAACCTTTGACATAGAATAAATGCCATATAAAGGCAGATACAACAGATAATCAGTGTATTTTAAGTACCATTGGAAATAAAGCAGTCAGAAAAATTGTAATGTTTACAGAAATACATGTTTCTATGATTATTATTTTTTATTATGAAGAAGGATTAAGTCTCCAAAGTGTGTGTGTGTGTGTGTGTGTGTGTGTGTGTGCGCGCGCGTGGACTGGGGTTATCTTTTGTTTTAGGTTACCAGATAACCCTTGTTTCCCTGACATGGCCACAAGGTGGTGGTGCAGTAACTTCAAATTGTCACTTTCAGGCCTATAGGGGGGGAAAATTGTCCCTGAAAAGCTACTTTGGAGGTTCCAGGTAGATCCTCTGATGAATCCAGAGAGCAGAAGAAATATACTTTCATCAAAATTCTGCATTCAGAGTCAGGTGGGGTGACAGATACCTTGAATTCCAGTGCTGGAGAGGTAGAGGGAGGTGGATCTCTGTGAGCTAGAGACCAGCCTGGTCTACATAGTGAGTTCTAGGCCATCCAGGGCTACACAGTGGAACCCTATCTCTAAATAAATAGGTAAATAAATAAATATTAACAAAAATTCATTAACTGATGTAGAAACATGTAGGAACAAGGCACAGAAATGTTACTGTGAAAAAAAAGTTGCCAGGTCTATAATCCCAGCACTTTGGGATGCTGGCAGGATTGCAGCCTAGACTATATATTGAGCTTGAGCTACAGTATGAGATTAACTCTCAAAAAAAAAAAAACCCAAAAGAAAGAAAAGAAATGCTATCAAAATTCCTACCTGCTGGGAAAATATGCTTGTGAAGTGATAGATCATTAGAGTGAGGCAAGAAAGCTGTGATTCATCACATTTAGTATTTTGCTTTTATAGATCAATAAATTTAAGCCTGGCAATGCTTGGAGATATAATTACCTGGCAAGGCAGTAATAGATCCAGAAAAAAACAGTATCATATGGCTCCTACTTTAATGTTTTTTTACATGCAGTTACTTTTTAATCCTGTATTTATACCACTCCTAGTTTAAATTCACTCTCCAAGTTCAAATATCCATGCATGTGTACATTTGTGTGCATGTGTGTGCACATGAGTATGAGTGTTCTATTCTTTCAAGTGAGTGGTTTCTATACTTGTATTCATAGTGTTGATAGTGACCCAAGAAAGAGGCAAAATAGGAAGTGATAAACATGGAATTCATGTAAGATTCCACTGACACAATTATTACTACCTTTTGAGGATTCAGGATATAACTCAGTCATTGAACATCTGGCTAGCATGTGCAAGGCTCTGGGTTTGATCCCAGTATTGCAATATATATATAAATATTAGCCTTTACTAGGAAGCTAGGTTAATTGCTAAAGGAAACTATATAGAGAAAATGAATTGAGGAAATCATCGATGTACAATAATGTCTATTTAGAGTAAATTTATATCATATTTACTCTAAAAATTGGAACAAATGGCCATTTTCTCAGGTTTTCCTGATAATTTCTCATTTAAAAAATATTTTATTATTTTTTATTTTATGTGTATGCGTGTATTGCCTGCGTGTAGGTAAGTGCACCCGTGTCATGCAATGCCTGCGGAGGTCAGAAGAGGCTGTTGGATCCCCTGGGACTGGAGTTACGGAGAGTTGTTAGCTGCCATGTGGGTGCTGGGATTCAAACCCGGGTCTTCTGCAAGAACATTCAGTGTTCTTAACCGCTGAGCCATCTCTCCAGCCCCAATTTCTCATTTTTAATTTTCATAATTTTCTTCCCTTTTTATGAAAGTAAATGAGGTTACTTAAATAGGAAAAAGGAGAGAGGGAGGCAGGTAGGTAGGGGGAGGGAAGGAGGGTACACGAAAAAATGGCTGAAAATGAAAACAAACTGTTCTCTGATTTTGGGGTATTACAGCAAAGCACAGATTAAGATTTTTTTTTGCCAGGAAGAGTGTGATTTTTTTAAACAAAATCATTTAATTAATAGACATTTGAGATATTAATTAGTTTTCAGAGCATCTCTGTGAAGATAAACAGCAGATATATTAATCTCAGGTGGGCATGTAAAGTGGCAAAAAGGGATAAGTATAATTAAGTCACATTTATGTAATAACAAATTTGGATATTAATCCTAATTTATTTTAGTATTCTAGTTGCTCTGCTTTATTATAGAAATAAACAATAGAAACAACATTTAGGAGCCAGGCATGGTGAAACATGACTGTAATCCCAGCACTTGGAAAGCTGAGGCAGGAGAATTTGGGAGTTTGAGGCCGGCCTGGAACTATATAATTAGACCTTATTTCAAACAGACAAACAAACATACAGCATGATTTTATTCACTTTTGTTCAATGCAGAAAATACAGACGTCTTTACTGGAAATGCCTGAAACTGCTTGTCGGAAATTTGAATCTAAAGCAACTCCTTCACAAAATACATCTCGAAATTTCTCATCCACTGATTATGGCAAATCAAGAAATAATAACAACTATCCATTGAAATCTACTAAAGGCATCTTATCTACAGCAGTAGTAAAGGTTGGTTGATAAAATTTCCAAGATAATAATAATTTTTAATAAAAAAGAAGGTTCTGGTATTACATACCATATATCTAATATCATGCATGTATAAGACTAGTTTCTTATGTAGCTAGGGAGATGGCTCAGCGGTTAAGAGCACTGACTACTCTTGCAGAGGACCTGGGTTCAGTTCCCAGCATTCACATGGTGGCTAACAACCACCTCCAACTCCAGTTCCAGGGCATTCAATGCCCTCTTCTGACTTCCACAGGCATTGTACAACATAGGTTTCTTATATAAATGCAGGCAATACACTTGTACACAAATAAAAAATTTAAAAATCCTAGTTTCTTGCAGAGGCCATTGTTTGTGGCATCATCATGAAATGATTTCATTTTTTTATTATTTCATTTCAATTTTTAAAATCTTTTTTTTTCTTATGTCCACAGCTTAATGACATCTTGGGCAGATTCCATAACTTGCTGGTCATTTATTAATGCAGAGTTTCTGATATTACAAGTCTGGTTCTGATTTGATGTTTTACAACACTCTCCTCCAGATATTTCCCATTGCTGTTTATCCTACATCATCTTGCTGCCTTTTATTTAGCAGTCCTCTTGGAATAAGTGCTGCTAGCAAGGTGACTCAGTTTTAGCTATACTCCACATATTTACATAATCCATGGGAGAACTCATGTCACCTTGCCACACTAAGGCACTGCGGAATTTTCTTCTGAAACCCCCCTCCAAGGTTCCTTTCCTTTGCTCTGCCAGACACAAGAAGAGCTGCCCAGGCTCAAATCCTTCTAGGGAATGGGATGCCAGTCGTCCACTGTTGAAGTTACTACTAGCCTTTACAGGACAACTTCTCTTGCAAGTTGAGGTGAAAAGTGTCTGAACCTGTTTCCACTCCTTTAAGATGAAAATTTATGCCTTATTTTCTTAATTTCTTTAAAACAGTTGTGAAGAAGCCGTGTTTGTTTATCATAAGGCCTGCCCTACTTTTGAGTAAGATTGAGAAAAGGATATGGCTCAAGCATAGTAGTTTGCTTTAGAATTTAGATTACTAGCACTTCCCCCAGTTTTGTGTTCCAATTGACCATTCTAGAACAAAAGAAAAAATTCCATTCACATCCTGATGTGAATATGATTCAACTTGTGAAAATTATTTTACTATATAGCTTAGAAAAGCCTTTGTATTAAATTATTCATAACCATATTGTTTAATATATGAAAAAATTAAAGAATGCCTTCACTTTAATTTTTAAATTTTATTTATTTATTTATTTATTTTTTGGTCTTTTTGAGACAGGGTATCCCTGTAGCCCTAGCTGTCCTGGATTCACTATGGAGACCAGGCTGGCCTAAAACTCACAGAGATCCACCTGCCTCTGCCTCCCGAGTGCTTGGATTAAAGGCATGTGCCACCATGGCTGGTGAAAAAATATTAAAGAATGCCTTCTCTTTAAAAACTCCAAATTGATATATTTCTAAGAAAAATTACAGATCTTAATTATTCAACTTGAATTAAACCAAACACAACTTTATAACCAGCACCCAGATTAAAATACAGTATTACTGTTACTTCAGAAGAACTGCTTTCTAATCACCAGTCCTATTTACAAGACTAATTATTTCAGTTTATCATGTAGTAAATATTCTTTTCATCTGGAATTCTTTCATTTACTATAATGCTAATGGAATTCACCCATGTTGTAGCTTAAAGCTAGATCATTTTTTATTTATATATATAAAATATACTGTTGTGTGACAGTGTCCTAGTACTTTTTCTTGCTGTGATAAATATGATGACCAAAAGCAATTTGGGGACAGAAGTTTTTATTTCAGCTTACAACTTCCAGGTCACAGTCCATCATCAAGGGAAGCCAAAGCAGTAACTTAGGTCAGGAACTTGGAGGTAGGAACTGAAGCAGAGACCATGGAGGAACACTGCTTACATGCTTATGTGCCTGCTTTTCTTTTCTTTTCTTTCTCTCTCTCTCTCTCTCTCTCTTTCTTTCTTTCTTTCTTTCTTTCTTTCTTTCTTTCTTCTTTCTTTCTTTCTTTCTTTCGCTCAGCTACCTTTCTTATACAATCCAGGCCCACCTGCCTAGAGATGGTACCACCTTTAGTGGGCTGGGCCCTCCATGGAGATCCCCACTGCTCCAGTCTGATAGAGATAATGCCTCAGTTGAACTTTATTCTTCCCAAGTGTCTCTAGTTTGTGCCAAGTTGACAGAAGACAAAAATTAACCAGTGTAGACTGTATATATTATGATTCAATGAGTGCTTGTGTCATTAATGAATATTTCGGTAGTTTTCAGAGTCGATTTATGAAATGTCTTCTTATAAAATTTGTAGGATTTGACATATCTGTTTTAGCTATATACCTACAAAGGAGTAAAATTGCTCAGTTATGGAGATTCTTAGCTTTTTCATCCTTATCATTTTAGTCATTTTAATGGGTGTGGTTACCTTATTTTTTAAAAAAATAAACTAATTGCAATTAATTTTGTATAACTTTCATCCAGTTTTCCCAATATGATAGCATATTTGTTTTCTTTTAATTTTACTTATTATTTTTATTTTATGTGTATACATGTGTTGTCTGCATGTAGGTAAGTGCACCTGTGTCATGCAATGCCTCTGGAGACCAGAAGAGGCTGTTGGATCCCCTGGGACTGGAGTTACGTACAGTTGTTAGCTGCCATGTGGATGCTGGGATTCAAACCTGGGTCTTCTGCAAGAACAACCAGTGTCCTTAATCGCTGAGCCATCTCTCCAGCCCCATAGCATATTTGTTCAAACCAAAAAATTTATGTTAGTACATTACTTACTAAAAACTAAACTTTAGCCTTTATGTGGATTTTACAGTTTTTCCACTAATGTTCCTTTTCTATTCAAGGGTCCAATTTATGTATCAAATTGCATTAAATTGTTATATCTCTTTATTCTTTACATTATTTTATTTGTTTGTTTCTTTGAGACAGTTTCACACTATAGCCCAGGCTAGCCTGGCACTCAGTATGTAGCATAGGCTGACCTTAAACTCATGTCAGTCTTACTGACTCAGCCTCCTGAGTGCTGGGATTACAGATGTGAAACCACCATGCCTGACTTTTTGATCTCAGTTTTGTAATAGTGACATTTGTAGCTAGTAATTACCCTCTAAGCATTGATTTTAATGGGAATGCTTCAAGCTTTTCTCCATTTAGAATGATGTTGACTGTGGGTTTGTTGTATATAGTCTTAATTATATTGAAGTATGTTCCATGCACTCTAATTCCCTCTAGGGCTTTTATCATGAATGCATGTTTGATTTTGTCAAATGCCATTTCTGCATCTATTAAGATGATTATGAAATTTTTTGTCTTTAAGTCCATTTAAATGATTTATTCTGTTTATTGACATTTATATTGAACCATCTCTGCATCTCTGGAATAAAGCCTACTTGATCATGGTGGGTGGTCTTTTTTAATGTGTGTGATTTGTGAGTTTTTTTTTGAAAATTTTTACATCTATGTTCGTTAGGGATATTGGCCTAAAGTTTTCTTTTTTTGTTATGTGTCTTTTCCTGGTTTTGGTGTTAGAGTAATGCTAATGCCATCGAAGGAGTTTGGGAGTTCACTCTCTGTTTCTGTCTTTGTTCTTTTTGAATAATTTAAGCAGTATTGGTTGTGGATCTTTGAAGGTCTGATAGAACTCACCTGTGAATCCATCTGGGTTTGGGCTTTTTTCAGTCAGGAGGCTTTGTATTACTGTTTCAATTTCCTTGTTTGTTATGGGTCTGTTTAAACTGTTGATCTCTTCTTGGTTTAACTTTGGTGGTTTCCATGAATTTAGAAATTTGTCCATTTCTTTTAGATTTTCAAGTTTAATAGAGTTTGAGTTTTTAAAGTAGTCCCTTAAAATATTCTGTATCTTTTTGGTGCCTGTTTCCCCTAGAGTCCCTGATTTTGTTGCATTTGTTCTTTCTTTCTTTTGGTTAACTGAGCTAAGGGTCTATCTTTTTTATCTTTTCAAAGAACCAGGTCTTAAGATTCAGTGATTCTTTTTTTCTATTTCATTAAGTTCTGTTCTGCTTTTTGTTACTTCTTTTTATCTGCTTAGTTTAGATTTGGTTTGTTCATGCCTTTCCAGATTCTTGAGTTGTACCATGAAGTCACTTATTTGTGTTCCTTCTGATTTTTTAATGTAGGTGCTTAGAGCTATAAATTTCCCTCTTAGGACTACTTTTAATGTGTCCCAGAGGTTTTATTGTGTTGTGTTATCACTTTCATTGAACACCAGGAATACTTTTACTTCTTGATTTTTTTTTTTTCTTGGACCTGTTCGTCATTCAGGAATGTGTTGTTTAATCTCCATGAGTTTGTGTAGTCACCAGAACTTTTTTTGCTGTTGATTTTAAGCTTTATTGTTTTGTGGTCTGATAGAATGCATGGAATTATTTTAATTATTTTGTATTTGTTGAAGTTTGTTTTATGCCCCAATATGTGGTCAATTTTAGAGAAGCTTCCATGGGCTGCTGGGTAGAATGTATATTCATTGGTGCTTGGGTAAAATATTTGGTAGATGTCCGTTAGGTCCATTTGATGTATGATGTCAGTTAATTTAAGATGTGTCTCTATTTGTTGTTTGTCCAGTTGACCTGTCTATCGCAGATAGTGGGGGTACTGAAGTCACTTCCTCTTCCTGAATTGGGGTTAATCTGTGTCTTGAAGTCCTGTACTATTTTTATGAAATTGGATGTATCTGAATTTGGTGCATAATGTGTTCATGATTGTAATGTCTTCTTGGTCAGTTGTTCTCTTGATCAAAATAAAGTGGCTTTCCTTATCTCTTCTGAATAATTGTAATTTGAAGTCTTATTTTGTCACATATTAAAATTGCAACACCTGCTTTGTTCTTAGTACCATTTGCTTGGAATATTTTTTTTCCAACCTTTCATCTTAATGTAGTTCCTATCCTTCAAGGTGAGATGAATTTCTTACAACAAAAAGATGGATTCCTAATCCATTC